GCCCCGAGTAAAGAGCAGGCAGCCTTGGGCACGTGCTCAGCAAACTGGCCCTGTGCGTCAGCTTGCCGTCACTCAGGTTCAAGCTGCTGCTGTGTTCGGAAACACCCGGGGAGGTGGTGGATGTCGCAGATGGCCAGAGGAGGCCCCGCTCAGCCGAAGTAGGAAAGAAACCAGGAGTGTGAAGGACAGTGAGTGATGTAGATGAGGAGGCAAGGAGGTCCAGGAGCGAGGGGTCTGCGTTTCTCACATGCTGGAGTGACCAGGCTAGACACGCGCTCTGCCTCCGTTTCTCCAGAATGAAACAGAGCGGATGCCGATGCCCCCGATGAGTAGCACTGGACACAGAGTGGACCCAGTCAGCGTTAACTAGTATTCTGCTCCTGGCATTAACTTGTCTTTGTTGTTACTAGGAGTTAGCAACTGGATATGAGACGTGGAGGACACTTTTAAATGATTTATTTTTATCTCATGTGTATTCATGTTTTGCCTGCATGCGTGTCTGGTAAAGTGTCGGATCCCCTGAAAATGGAGTTACAGACAGTTTTGAGCTGCCATGTAGGGGCTGGGAATTGAACCTGGGACCTCTGGAAGAGCAGCCGGTGTGCTTTACCACTGAGCCATCTCTCCAGCCCCTGGAGGAGACTTTTATAGTGAAACGCTTAGAAGAGGGCATTGTGGGGCGGAAGAGATGGCTCCCTGGAGAGCAGGAGGACCGCCTGAGTTCAGATCCCAGCTCTCACTTAAGAAGCTGGTGGGCCCATAGCCCCAGCACCACACAGGGTGGAGACAGGAGGATTGTGGGGAATGCTGGCCACTATCCTAGCTCCAGGGTCAGTGAGATCTTGACACAGAGGGATAAGGCAGAGAGTAATACACCAGACGCACGCACGCATGCACGCACGCACGCGCATGTGCAGGACCTGGGCTGGGGTGGATGAGCTCTGAGTGTGACCAAAGAAGAGACCTGGCTTCCTGTAAACTAACTGGGAGTTTAAATCTCGGTGCTTCTTCTGCGGGTTTCTTTCCCACCGGAGAGGAAATGACCTGCGATGTATTTGCACTCTGGAGGATATGGCTTCATTTATTAACTGCCAGTACTTGGCTGTCGGCTAGTCCTGTGCTAGGCTTGGGATGCTGGAGTAAGTTTTCCCTCCCAGGAGGGCCCTGTGGTTGGCTTGGGTAGGACAGGAATGCAGTGGAAAGCAAGCAAGGTTTCGGGCCCAGACTGCAAGAAGGGGCGTCCATTCAAGAGCTGCCCTGGGAAGGTCCTGGAGGCCAGAGGGGACAGGAGAGAGGCCCGGCTCCGACGACCACCACCGGGAAAACAGGAAGTGCATCCTATGAGTGAAGGGGGCATCACGGGGACTTTGAAAGGGGAGTGTGATGAGACCGATCGTGTGTTTTAGTCACGCTGGCTTCAGGGTCCCAAGCAGGAGAGTTTAAAGAGACTGCCTCTAATACAGTGTGGGTGGCTGCAGTCAGAGTGTGTGGTAACATCAAATCAATGCCCAGGGAAAGCAAGGTGACCATCCAGTGTGCCTGTCTCAGGCAGGCAGTCGAAGGGGTAGCCTGACTAGAGAGTCTGGATGGAGGCGGGCAGGCTGCTAGACAGATGAGTTTGCTTCGAGCGTGTTCTTATGTAGCTGAGCATATTAGTGTGCAGTGTTTCCAAGCAGAACCTTCTAGGAGGCCAAATAAATACCGATCGGAAGTTCTTTGGCCTTAGTTCCTTTAAAGCTTCTCCTTGGACCGGAAGCTTGGCCTCTCGTGTCCTCACTTAAGGTGATATCCTCCAGGGCTCTCGCACAAACCTCCATCAGCACTTCCCATTTGGAGAGGAGTTGGAAGCCTCTAGACTGTGTCCCTCAAAACAGAATCGGAGCTTCTTGGATCAGATATTCTTAGGTTTCGGGATTGTTGAAGATGCATTGAGCAGTACATTGCCCTCTAACAAATACCCAGACGTGCAAAGGGAGACGGTGTAGGGCTGGAGGGTGAGCTGTGTGGTGTGAAGGGATTTGCCCAGCTTCTCAAGAGGGTGGGACTAAGTCTAGATGGAAAGGTCTTGGTGCCTCCCTCTGCCTACTGTGTGGGCACTCGAGAGGATCTGACTCCCTCCAAACTGAGGTTCATCCGATGGGCCCTGGGCTTCCCGTTCTCTTCGCCTCGTGTTAGCTGGAGCAGAAATGATGGTTAGGGGAGGTGTGACTCAGGACAGGACCCCTCTGAAGCCCTGTCATTTTCTCTGTTAGCCAGCAGAAAGACAGCTTTCGGGAAGAGGGTGTTTTAGAAGAGCCTGTGAGGATGGCTTCCAGGTGTAGGTTGTCACCCAGGCACCAGCCGTCTCCAGTCATTCATGGAACCATAAATCCCTCCTTGGAAGCCGGTAGAGAGGAATGCTGAGGTGTTCCGTGAGGTTCCCCCTAACCACACTGTATGTGGTCAGCTCAACACCCACATTTAGCGGACGTTGGGTGCACCCCATTCTGCTGGGCAGGCTGCCTTTTCCCAAATGTTCGCTGAGGACCAGGTGGATGTGCTAGAAGTTACATGGAAATCTTAACTCCCGCATCAGTCAGATCAAGACTGAAGTCTGAGTCCACCACGCACGCCTTCAGCGTTCTCTCCCTCCCATGTAGTGTGCTCTGTCTTGTGGGTGTGATAAACCCACCGACTTGAGAAATATTATACTGTCGAGACGCGGTTCAGCGTCCCACTACTTTATGGCTGCACCAAAAAATAGGCAACCAGAGAATCATTTCACCTCTTAAAAATCATTTATAATCTGTCTCGAAAAACAAAACAAAAATTACTTAAAAAATGGTGGGATTTCTCCCTCTCTTTAAAGTGTTCGTAGAGCTACTAAACACGTCACGTTTATCCAGTAGCCGGTGAGAATATCCTGCAGGTGGATCTTTACATTTCTCGGATTGTCAGGAGGAAGCACTCTGCTCGGGTGGGGCTCCTCCCCCGGGCCTCTGGAGTTGGTCATCCCGTGCCATTGTGATCAGGGACCACAGACTAGCCACACTCAAGCGTGCCCCTGTGCTGGTGGCTTCCACCAGTTGATACCGGTTGGTCCGGCTCTAAGGTTCCTGCTGTTACAGCCGGCCAGATAAGCAGGAGCGGGCTATGAGTGCACTAGGGCATGAGACTCTCTTGACTTTTATAAAAGACACAGAGTGTCCCAAAATAGCCTGGTAGCTAAAATACCAACGACGACAACAAGAATAGCTTGCCATTTGTGAGTGCTTGTTTGTTTAAAATGAAAGGTCCCTGTTTTGGCAGCCGTGAGTTTCCACTAGGCAGGCTCCCACAAGAACAGCGCTGGGGGAAACATGTGGTCCCTGCATGGCCGGAAATGCAGGGTCTTGCAAGGCTTTCTCTCAGCCCTCTGAGGGATTCCCTGAGCCTCGGGCCGCACCACACCCCCCAGGACCTGAAGTAGATGCGTGGGCGTGGCCGTGTTTAAAGACACTAGTTGGTGCTGCTGTTTCCCTGGCCAATAGTAACAGTCGGTGGCACACGTAGCGATCAGTGTTGGTCTCTGCCATTTGATACTCAGCCTGTCTCTGTCACCAGGGTGTCACCAGGGTCCTCGTGTAGATGGGACACAGGGAGGGGCAGCTGTGGTACATTTAGCCAGCGTTGGGATCCTGTATATATAGGTGAGCATGCACTACTTCTGAGCGCATGTGATCCAGCTTCCCCGCCATCGTAGGAGAAGCTCTGCCATGTAGACGCCTGCCTCTTCCCCATGCCTGTCTCATGTGATGCCCTTGCAGGCCCTCCCTCGATTTCCTGGTTGCTCCATAGAGCCGTGGCCACGGCACACCCAGCACCGCGGTTTGCTGTCCTCCATGGCCTTCCCTTATCGGCAGTCCTGGCCAGATCCAGCACTTCTAGGGCTGGGGAGGGTGGAGGGTGGTGGCAGGTTGCCCGGAAATGGTAAGGAGGGAGGGGACGCTTGACCCCGGGTCACGTCCCCCCCCCCCCCCCCGATTTCTGGATCGTCCAGGATGGTACTCACTAATGGCTTTTTACAGCCACCCTCTCCCGCCTCCCTCAGCTGTCTTGGGAAGCATCCTCGGGATACTTGCTTTCAGATGTTGACAGGTGAGAAAAGCAAATATTGAGACGTGCTGCCCCACAGAGTGCATTGACTGAGCAATAATTGTGCCGAGCTCACTGGTGCGCCGGCCTCGACTTTTATCAGCTCGCTTCCTGATGCACCAGGCAGCTGGGCAAGTGACCTTCCATCTGGCGACTGCAGTTTGACCCAAATGGAGTCTGAGCTAGCCAAGGAACTTTGAGACCAGGCAGCCGGAACAAACAGCCGCTGCCAACCTTCCTACCCCATCTTTCTCCCTGAGCCTAACTTTCACGGGGACATTCGAGATGCTTCTTGTCTGAGTTTGCCGTGTTCTGAGTGTCCTGTGGTCCCCAGAATTTGGCCCTGAACTTCCGAGCACGGAATGGGAAGTGCTTTATCGTGGTTTATTTGTCCGTAGCAATACTGATAGCCACACGCGTCTTGGAGTTCTGGCCTGCTGGGGTCCTGCCAGTAACCCATTGTTCTCTGAAAGGCACACAGAAGGTTCTCATGAGATGTCTCCTGCTTGCTCTCTCTCTCTCTCTCTCTCACCCCCCCCCTCCCTCTCCCTCCCTCCCTTCCATCCCTCAGGGGACCACACTCTCTGTTAGCAGGAAATTCCCACTGTTCTTGGGTCCCAGCTACAGCCGGAGAGACATCACAGTGTTCGGAGCCCAGGCCTGCTGGCCAGGCAGCACGTGCTGGCCTTCTGTGTTCCGGACTTAGGGTTTCCTTTGCTTAGAGTTTGGGGAAGCAGAGCCCACAGGTTGTTACTAGAAGGAGAGTCCCTTGGCCTCCGCCTCCGCCGCCGTTGATCTGGGCCCGGGGTTGCTGGTGGTTTTGTTCTCTGACGTGACAGCCGCCACTGTTTGGGACGCACTAACTCTCCCCTGTTCTTTTCTTGCAGATGAGCTCACAGTGCCTGCACTTTACCCCAGTAGCCCTGAAGTGTGGGCCCCGTACCCTCTGTACCCAGCGGAGTTAGCGCCTGCTCTTCCTCCTCCTGCTGCTGCTTTCACCTATCCCGCCTCACTGCATGCCCAGGTAATTGATCCCCATCGGCCACCACCCCACTCACTCCACCACCGGTCCCCGCCAACCCGGTTCCCCAGAGCACACCACGTGACTAACACCTATCCAGCTAACAGATCCACCTTCAGGAAGTGAATGAACTCCCTCTACAACGAGCTGACACCCCTCCGGGACTTACGGGGGGGACCGTCTGACAGCCATGATCCCACCCCACTGCCTGATGTCTCCTCCAGAGGACACCTCTCTCTTCCTTAATGATCTCACCCTCATCTCACACGCCAAGACCGGGGCAGGCTTCCCTCCTTGGCTCCCAGCTAGCAAGAGGGCATCACAGGGGCATAAGTGTGTGTGTGTGTGTGTGTGTGTGTGTGTGTGTGTGTGTGTGTGTGTGTGT